CAGTAGCTTGGGTCAATGGAGATACAGCCAGGTCTGGAAAGTTGGGGAGGGGAGTGTCCTGCTGAGATGCCTGCCCCTGCTCTCCCCTCAGCTGGAGTGGGCCATGAAGCTCTGGTGGCCACACAGCGAAGCCATGATTGCCTTCCTCATGGGTTACAGTGAGAGTGGGGACCCTGTGCTGCTGCGCCTCTTCTACCAAGTGGCTGAGTACACCTTCCGCCAGGTGAGCGCTGCCTCCTTGTCCCCTCTAGAGGCTGAATGGGGTAATGGGGGGAGTCTGGCCAGGCTGTGCTCTTGCCCCCTTGCTGAGCACAGTCGCTCAGCTGGTCTGAGAGTTTCTGGAGCCCCAGTGCTGTTCGTTCAGTCAGCAAAGAAGCCCCTGTCCTCCTAGGGCTCGAATTTTGGTGGTGGGGGCCGGGAGAGCAGACTGTTAGCAAGCAGACCTAGGTGGTGGTGAGAGTGACAGCTGTGGGAATAATACCACTGGAGAGGGTTGTGGGGGGCTCTTACCTATGGGGTGGCAACGGGGAAGCACTGAACAGGCGCCAAGTCAATCAGGGGTGTGTCTGAGGGACTGGGAGTCTGGGCATGTGGCACAGCAGGGGGGCCTGGCAGCCTGGAAGGATAAAGGCAGAGTAGGCAAGGGATGGACTCCAGCTGCCTGGTCTGATTCCACTGTTACCTGGGTCCTGGGGTTTGGAGGGGGAGGGTGTTATGGGGGAAGCCTGTAGGGTATAGGGCAGAAACTGGGACAGCAGAGGTAGCTGTAGCTGTCATCCCAGCCAGTGAGGGCTGGCCCAGGTGGGAACTGGTGGGGACAGAGGGTTCAGAGTCTGGTGGAGCAGCAGTGGGATTCCTGAGTCTCTAGTTCAGATGGAGAGATCTGGACTCACCATGAATGTTTTCAATATCATAAGAATGTAGATGCTGCCTGGCACAGTGGCTCATGCCTATAATCCTAGCACTTTGGGAGGATGAGGCGGGAGGATCACTTGAACCCAGGAGTTCAAAACCAGTCTGGGCAACATAGTGAGACCTGGTCTCTACAAAAAATTTTTAAAAATTACTTGGGTGTGATGCACACCTGTAGTCCTAGCTACTCAGGAGGCTGAGGCAGGAGGACTGCTTAAGCCCAGAAGTTTGAGGCTGCAGTGAGTTATGATCACACCACTGCACTCCAGCCTGAGCTGGGCAACAGAGCAAGACTATGTCTCAAAAAAAAAAAAAGGCCGGGCGTGGTGCCTCATGCCTGTAATCCCAGCACTTTGGGAGACTGAGGTGGGCAGATCACCTGAAGTCAAGAGTTCAAGACCAGTCTGGCCAACACGGTGAAACCCCATCTCTCAAGACCAGTCTGGCCAACATGGTGAAACCCTGTCTCTACTAAAAATACAAAAATTATCCAAGCGTGGCGGCAGGAGCCTGTAATCCCAGCTACTTGGGAGGCTGAGGCAGGAGAATCGCTTGAACCCAGGAGGCAGAGGTTGCAGTGAGCCGAGATCGCACCATTGCGCACTCCAGCCTGGGGAACAACAGCAAGACTTGGTCTCAAAAAAAAAAAAAGAGTACAGATGCTGCTGAGATCTATGAGGCAAAAAGGGAAATGGAGGCCCAGCAAAGGAGACAGGAATCAGTGGTGACGTAGGAAGAAGACCAAACCAGGGGCCCCCTGAGGCCCAAGTGCTAGGAGCAGAGTGATAAGCTGTCCTGACTGCTGCCCAGGAGGCACCTCGAGCTGCTGAATGCAGGAAAGGACATGGCATCCAGTGGTGGCATGGCCTGGGTGGTGAATGAATGAAGATTCATCATGTGTTTCTAAAGCCACGACTCCGATTCCACTGGTAAACCCTGGTACTGGGAGGACTATAGCAGGGGATCTTATTCTGGGGTGTGTGGGCTTCGAAACCGGGGGTGGAGAATCACATCTGTATTTGTACTAACCTCTAACGGAAACTAGCATTTGCTTCCATTATGAGTGGAGGCAGTGAACCACATTGGTAATAGAAGTGCCTGGCTTTGTCACCGATAGAAATCCCAGATGTGTTTATATTGCATTGCAGTTAGAGAGACATCTGCAAGTATCACATATGCTCATCACTACTTCCAAACCACCAGGGTTGTTAGACCTGCAGCTATATCTTAATATTTAATGCATTCATAGAGTATGTATTAGGGGCCACCAGTGATAACTCAAAAATGAAATAATAAGATACAGATGACATTAAACAATTACAAAAGCTATGATTAACAGGTAAATTGGCTGGGTATGGTGGCTCACACCTGTAATCTCAGCACTTTAGGAGACGGAGGCGGGTAGATCACCTGAGGTCAGGAGTTCTGGACCAGCCTGGCCAACATGGCGAAACCCAGTCTCTACTAAAAATACAAAAATTGGGCTGGGTGCCTTGGCTCACGCCCATCATTCCAGCACTTTGAAAGGCCGAGGCAGGCGGATCACTTGAGGTCAGGAGTTCAAGAACAGCCTGGCTGACATGGTGAAACCCCATCTCTACTAAAAATACAGAAAATTAGCCAGGCGTGGTGGCAGGTGCCTGTAATCCCAGCTACTCAGGAGGCTGAAGCAGGAGAATCACTGGAACCTGGGACGTGAAGGTTGCAGCGAGCTGATATCACGCCACTGCACTCCAGTCTGAGCGACAAGAGCGAAACTCTGTCTTAAAAAAACAAAAACCGGCCGGGCGCGGTGGCTCAAGCCTGTAATCCCGGCACCTTGGGAGGCCGAGACGGACAGATCACGAGGTCAGGAGATCCAGACCATCCTGGCTAACACAGTGAAACCCCGTCTCTACTAAAAAATACAAAAAGCTAGCCGGGTGAGGTGGTGGGCGCCTGTAGTCCCAGCTACTCGGGAGGCTGAGGCAGGAGAATGGCGTAAACCCGGGAGGCGGAGCTTGCAGTGAGCTGAGATCCGGCCACTGCACTCCAGCCCGGGCGACAGAGTGAGACTCTGTCTCAAAAAAAATAAAAATAAAAATAAATAAAAACCAAAAAACCAACCAACCAACCAACAAACAAAAAAACCAGGTAAGTCATTATGCATCAACCAACATAACAGAATACAGAAGGCAAAAATCCAGACATTGAGGGAAATTCTTCTTTACCTTCCTGTGTCATGTCAAGTAGTCAAAAAATAAGGACTTGAACAATGTAACTCAAAAGATAGAATGAATACACACAGAACTAGTATTATTTATTAATTATTATTTTTTTATTTTTTTGAGACAGGGTCTCTATCGCCCAGACTGAGTGCAGTGGCACGATCATGGCTCACTGCAGCCTCAACCTCCTGGGCTCAAGCGATCCTCCCACCTCAGCTGCCCAGGTAGCTGGGACTACAGCTGTGTACCATCACACCCAGCTAATTCTTTAATTTTTTTTTTGTATAGATGGGGTCTCACTATGTTTCCCAGGCTGGTCTTAAACTCCTGGACTCAAGTGATCCTCCCGCCTCGGCCTCCCAAAGTGCTGGGATTACAGGCGTGAGCCACTGTGCCCAGCCCAGGACTAGTTTTACTTCCTACGAAGAAGAATACACCAACTCTTATGGGCCACCATTTAAAGAGACATTCTCATACTGGACTTCAATGTAATTGATTCCATGATCCTTTGGAGAAGAGGCTGAACTGACAAGCCTTCCTGAGACAGGTGCCCCAAGGAATGGTAGTGGAGAGAGAAGGAAAGAGAGTGGAATGGGCACTGGGCAGGGGCAGACGGACGACGAGATGCATTTGGGACCAATGGTGAGCCAGGACAGGAGTCAGATGAGATTGTACATCTACTGGAAGACAGGCCTGTGAAGCTGGGAATGGGAGCTCCAAAGGAGTCACATCTTAAGAGTTTCATGACAGGTCGTTTCCTCCATCAGGGTTCTTTGTTTCTTTAAATCAACGTAACCACCACTACAATCACAAGAGAGAACCTTTTTCTTTCTTTCTTCTTTCTTTCCTTCCTTCCTTCCTTCTTTCTTTCCTTTCTTTTCTTTCTTTCTTTGAGATGGAGTCTTGCTCTGTCACCCAGGCTGGAGCGCAATGGCCTGATCTCGGCTCACTGCAACCTCCGCCTCCTGTGTTCAAGCGATTCTCCCGCTTCAGCCTCCCGAGTAGCTGGGATTACAGGTGCGCCACCACGCCCAGCTAATTTTGTGTTTTCAGTAGAGATGAGGTTTCACCATGTTGTCCAGGCTGATCTTGAACTTCTGACCTCAGGTGATCCGCCCGCCTCGGCCTCCCAAAGTGCTGGATTTCAGGCGCGAGCCACAGCGCCTGGCTTGATAGAGAACGCTTCTACATCCCAGGGCAGGGTTCTTTCATTCCATCTGGCAGTGTCTCGTCCCCTTGCCCAGTCGGTTATATAGTTGTAGCTCTGCTTGCTGCGCCCACCCCTGCTTTCATCTTTGTGGAGGACGCAGTGTCGCGGTTCAGATCGCTGGTTCTGGAGCCATGTTACCTGGGATCAACCCAGGCTCTGACCCCTGGTAGCGATGCAGTGGCATCTGGGCGGGTCCTGCAGGCGCTAGCTGTCACTGTCTCTGTTATTCCAGTTTCGCGATCCCGAGTACGGGGAATGGTTTGGCTACCTGAGCCGAGAGGGCAAGGTGGCCCTCTCCATCAAGGGAGGTCCTTTCAAAGGTGAGTGGGGGACAGGGCGGGGCCGCAGGGGTTGCGCCTCTCGGCTGCCCCCGGCCCTCACTACCTGCCCGCCTCCACCCGCAGGTTGCTTCCACGTGCCGCGGTGCCTAGCCATGTGCGAGGAGATGCTGGGCGCCCTGCTGAGCCGCCCCGCCCCCACGCCCACGCCCGTCCCCACCCCCGCCCGTCGAGGCGCGGAATAAAGGCTGAGTCTGCTCCACCTGCGGCTGTGCGCGTGTCTGTGGGCTCGCGGGACCCGGGCTGCGGCGCCGAGGGAGGGGCCTGCTCCAGCTCCGGGGCAGCGCCCGCCCCGCCCCCAGGCCCGCCCCGCCCCCAGGCCCGCCCCGCGCTGACCGGCTGCGCGCATTGGCCCGCCTCGCGCGCTGGCCTGTCCCGCGCATTGGCCAAGCGGCCGGGAGGACGGGCCCGGCGGCCGTGCACTTCCGGCCGCTGGCCGGCCCGGCGCGCACCGCCCCTTCCGCCACCGCCCAGCGAGCCGAGCCCCGGTCCCAGCCCCGGCCGTCCCGGCGTCGCTTCGGAGCGCGGCGGCAGCTGACTGCGCCTTCACGATCCGCTGGGACCCGCGAGCCCCGCCGCCGTTATGAACATCCGCAATGCGAGGGTGAGCGCCCGGGGCGGGAGGCTGTCCGCGCCGCGTGGGCGCCGGGCCCGGTGGCTGCTGCGCATGCTCCCGAGGGCCCTGGCCGAGCCCGGCCCGGTGGACCTGCGTGTGCCTGCGGCCGCTGGACCTATGGGGCTGGCCCAGCCCGCCGAAGAGGCCGGGGCGCGGGGCCGGGGCTGCGATTCCCTCCTGTTTGCGTGATGTCGGGCCTGCGTTGGGTGGGCTCCGGGGACCTCCGGGCGCCCACTGCTGTTCCTGTGCTCTGGGCGTTGTGCAAAGTCAGATCGTCACAGCGCCTGCTCAGCCCCGAGGGAGGGGGGCCGAGCAGACCGACAGGGAGCAGACTTCTCACCCGTGGTCACCGGCGCCTTGGACTGAGCGCGTTCCACTGCCCTCCTTCCTTGCAGCCAGAGGACCTAATGAACATGCAGCACTGCAACCTCCTCTGCCTGCCCGAGAACTACCAGATGAAATACTACTTCTACCATGGCCTTTCCTGGCCCCAGGTGGGCAGCTTCTGAATTTGGGCGTGGGGGAAACCAGGCCGAGGAAAATCCAATCGGGCCATCTTGGAGGGAGTGGACAAGTCTGTCAGAGCCCAGGGGGCTGTATGGTTGGTGACGTCCCTAGTGTTTTCAGCTGGCAGGCAGGGGCAAAGGAAAAGAAGGCGCCTGAAGGGAGCAGAGAATTGGGGCATCGGGCAGGATCCCCACATTGCATCTTCTTTCTGGGCATGGGCAGGGCACAGTGTGGCGCGGGGGAGACCAAGTCACCCAGCCTGGAGGTCATGAGCCATCACACAACTGGCCACTCGTCCAGCTTGTGTCCCTCTAAAGGGCTCCTCCAGCTCCAACATGAAGTTTTCTCACTCCCTTTTCCTCTCTGTCACCAGCTCTCTTACATTGCTGAGGACGAGAATGGGAAGATTGTGGGGTATGTCCTGGCCAAAATGTGAGTCACCAAGGAGGAAGACAGAAGCTACACGTGTCTGGTGGATGCCTCTGTGGGCTTTAAAAAAATGAATAGGCTCTTTCTTTTCAGTACAGTTGAAAGTTTATAGAAAAATTGAACAGAAAGGACATGGAGTTCCATAGAACCCCTCAGCATTCCCTCCCTGCCAGTTTCCTCTATTAGTAGCATGTTGGATTTGTGTGGTCCACTTGTGACAAGTGATAAACTAATGTGATATATTACTATTATTATTATTATTATTTTTTTTTTTTTTGAGACGGAGTCTTGCTCTGTTGCCCAGGCTGGAGTGCAGTGGCGTGATCTTGGCTCACTGCAAGCTCCATCTCCTGGGTTCAAGTGATTCTCCTGCCTCAGCCTTCCTAGTAGTTGGGATTATAGGCATGTGACACCACATGTGGCTAATTTTTTAATTTTTTTAGTAGAGATGGGGTTTCACTATGTTGGCCAGGCTGGTCTCGAACTCCTGACCTCAGGTGTTCCACCCACCTCAGCCTCCCAAAGTGCTAGGATCACAGGCGTTAGCCACTGCAACCCAGCCGATATATTAACATTAACTAAACCCCCCTGCACTTCTCTTTGTGTTGTAAGCCCCATGGTTTTGACCAAATGATATGTGTCCACCTTTATATTATCACAGGATAGTTTCACTGTGTTTCACGCATTTATCCCTTCCTCTTAACCCCTGGCAACCACTGATTTTTTACTGTCTGCATAGTTTTTGCCTTTTCCAGGATGTCATAGAGTTGGAATCATACTGTATACAGCCTTTTCAGGCTGGCTTTTTTTCACTTAGTAGTGCACATTTAAGCTTCTGCCTTGTCTTTGCGTGGGTTGACAGCTCATTTCTTTTTTTATTTTTATTTTTTGAGATAGGGTCTTGCTCTGTTGCCCAGGCTGGAGTGCAGTGGCATGATCATGGCTCACTGCAGCCTCAACTTCCCAGGCTCAAGTGATCCTCTCACCTCTGCCTCCCAAGTAGCTGAGACCACAGGCATGCGCCACCACACCCAGCTAATTTTTTGATTTTTTTTTTTTTGTAGAGACAAAAAAGGTGTTGTCCAGGCTGGTCTCGAACTCCTGGGCTCAAGCAATCCTCTTGACCCGGCCTGCCGAGTAGCTGGAACTATAGGCGTGTGCCCCATACCTGGCAGGCATGGGGTTTTCAGGCAGTAGAGGGTGGCAGGATCAGCTGCTCTGATCCAAGAGGCTCCTGGCTCTCCCCCAGCTGGGGTCTTAGGGGGCTGTAGGGCCAGCCTAGAATTTGCATATCCACTTTACAGATGGCGGGGGGTGGGGGTGGCTGTGCCTACACTGAGCTCCTTTGCAGCCTCTGCTTTCTCCCTCTCCAGGGAAGAGGACCCAGATGATGTGCCCCATGGACATATCACTTCATTGGTATGTAAGGTTCACTCAGGCTCTCTGGTGGGGGTGGAAGGTCCCAGCCCTTCACCCGCTCTCTGCTCTTCTCCTACCAGGCTGTGAAGCGTTCCCACCGGCGCCTCGGTCTGGCTCAGAAACTGATGGACCAGGCCTCTCGAGCCATGATAGAGAACTTCAATGCCAAATACGTCTCCCTGCATGTCAGGAAGAGGTGGAAGCCGGGCTGAGGGAAGGGGGATTGAGGGGGAGAGATATTGCCTTGACGGGGGTCCTGGGGTACCTCGGCTTTTGGTGAAGATCCAGGAAGTGGGATTGGGGTGAAGGAGGGACCAAGAGGAGGGGCAGGCACTGGACGTGCTACCCCTCCCTGGCCATGTCCGTGCAGCTCAGCAGTGCCTTGTTCCCCTGCAGTAACCGGGCCGCCCTGCACCTCTATTCCAACACCCTCAACTTTCAGTAAGTAGATCTCGAGTTTTCTCGTGGGCTGGGGTTGGCCCCAGGTCTGGCCCATCAGGGCACCTGAGACCGGCTGAGTTGCCTTCCAGGCTAGGGGTGGGCCGGATGTGGGGAGGACGCTGTGGACCCCAGTGCTGCCAGGATGCCTCCACATTCACTCGGTGGCTGATGGTTGAAAAGCCGGCATGGAGACAGCACCTGCCTGCTGAAACGTGCTCCGTGTGTGTTGTGATGGAGGAGCTCTGGCCCATGCTGGCAGAGGCTGGTGAAGGGCACACGGGCTGTTTAGTAATGTTTGGGAATAAAGAGGTGTGGGTCCCTGGCGTGAGCAGATCATAGCATGGCCAAGCACCTGGAAGAATCCAAGAGAGAGCAGAATCAAGGAGAATGCACGTTCAGGAAGGAAGGACCGGCGGCCAGGCAGCCTAGTGGATGGGGCAGGTCTGCCTGAGGACCGGGAGGCCCCGTGTGCCTAGCACAGGAGAGAGAACCTGGCAGTCAGCATGCCCAGTAGACAGTGGAAAAAAGTGCTTGCAAGTGAAGCTGGGGTGGGCTGCCCGTGGAGGGACACTAACTGCAGTCAGCCCCTGTTTGGTAGGGGTGAAGAGGAGGGACTGTTGGGAAGGGCAGTGGCCTCTGGGCTGGATGCTGGCAAGAGGGATCTGTGACCCAGATGAGAATGTCTGGTGGGAACTGCTTTATAGCTAAGTCAACAATCCTCATGTCTTAGGCCTGGCAGGGCCAGCCTAGGCCACTGAGTCCAGCTCCCCTTCCAGGGACATGGCCACCCGAGTCTGCACACATGCCTCCCCAGTGCAGGCATGGCCCCTGAGCTGCTCAGGCAGGGCCCGTGCTGCCTAGGGGTGACTCCCCTGAACAGAGCTCACTGTCTTTCCTGGGTTCTGATGGCTGTTGTGAGGCAGCTCAGTAAGGGACAGGACACAGGGCAGGGAGGGAAGGGGAAGGCTGAATTCAGGAATTCAGCTCACAAGAAACCACAGAAATGAATCCTTAGTAGCCAGGCTAAGGACACAGAACGGGGGCAGGACAGGGGTGGGGCGGGCCGCTGTTTCCTGGAGCCTTTGCTGGAGAGAACAGAGGGCAGGTCACACTGGACTTGCTGTCTCAGGAAGGAGCCCTTCAGGAAGAAAACATGGCATCTTGCTCCAGTAGCCATGATACCAGGAGTGGAGGAGGGTGTCCCCCAGGTGTGGGTCTTCCTCCTTGCTCTCTGCCCTCTGCCCCCAGGATCAGTGAAGTGGAGCCCAAATACTATGCAGATGGGGAGGACGCCTATGCCATGAAGCGAGACCTCACTCAGATGGCCGACGAGGTAAGAGCCTGCATGAAGCCAAGCCAGGCAAGCGGGGGTGGCATTGGGGAGCCCCGAGACAGTGGCTGGAGGTGCGACCAACTTTGAATGCCAGCCCTTGTGGCTACGTTGCCAGGAGTCACAACCTCAGTTTCCTAGGTTGGGCTTTAGAGGAGGCCGTCTGCCTAGCAGCCTGGAGGGTGATGGGAGAGGCAGAGGGAGGAGGCTTTTAGAAGGGAAGTGGGGAGGCCTGGGGACCAGTGGGTGGCCTGCCTGCTCAGAGGGAGTTCTGAGTCAGGGTTCTGCCCCAGGCTCCTTGGGTGGCAGGGCTGGTCAAGGGGCAACGCTGTGTCGTGGGGGCCTCCACGGTAGTCAGTGAGCCCAGGTAGCAGTGGACTGGGGCTCCAGCCAGGTGTCCCCACTCAGTCCCACGTGTCCTGCCTAGCCCTGCTGCCTCACTATGCCCCTCTCCTCAGCCAGCGACAGGGCCAGGCTCCCTTTGTCTGGAAACTTAGGCCCCATCTCTTTACCTCCTGCTTGTCCCTGGGTTCCTGGTGGCAGCTGAGGCGGCACCTGGAGCTGAAGGAGAAGGGCAGGCACGTGGTGCTGGGTGCCATCGAGAACAAGGTGGAGAGCAAAGGCAATTCACCTCCGAGCTCAGGAGAGGCCTGTCGCGAGGAGAAGGGCCTGGCTGCCGAGGATAGTGGTGGGGACAGCAAGGACCTCAGCGAGGTCAGCGAGACCACAGAGAGCACAGATGTCAAGGACAGCTCAGAGGCCTCCGACTCGGCCTCCTAGAGCCTGCCCCATCCCTTCCTCACCCCACGAGCTTTCACAATAAATTCGCTCCGTGGCACTGGGGAACTTCGTGTGTGTGCGTGGGCACATTTAGAGGGTGTGTTTCTCCAGGTCCTCTGGTGGGGAGGTGAGCCTCAGCCTTTTGACCCAGAGCATCCTGCCAGTCCGAATAGAAGGGAAGAACTTTGGAGGTGGGACTCCCCAGTCTCATGGCCTTCAGCAGCTGTGGCCCCGGGAAGGAGGCCCTGGGCTTAGGGAGAGACCCTGCCTTGGAGGTCTGCTTGGCCACGCTGAATGTGTTTTGTGGCACAAGCCTGGGCCGCTTAGGCTCAAAGCTCAACAGCAGGGCTCCCACTCTTGGTGGCCTTCAGTTCTCCTCCCATCTTCACCTTCAGACCTTTTCTCTCCCTAATCACACCTGCTTTGGGCTACAGCAGCTCTGCGGCATACCCGTGGGCTCCAGATGTGGACATCTGACTGCTCATTGGGCTTATCTACAGCTGTCCTGAGTATAATGACCCAGCCAGACGCCCTGTCAACGGTCCTTGAGTCCTCCCTTCCCTGCCACCCTAATGGTCAGTGAGTCCATGATACCTCTTGAGTCTACTCCCTGAGTTTGCATTTGAAAATAATTTATTTTTAGTACAGTTCCCCCCGTTTCCCCTATTGATATTTTGTATTAGTTGGTGTATTTGTTATTGTTGATGAGCTAATACTGATAAGTTATTGTAAACTATAGCCCATGGTTTACATTAGGTTTCCTGTCTGTGTTGTACAGTTTCTATGGGGTTACACAAATACATAAAGCCATGTATTCCCTCAAAATAATTTCATGCAGAATACAAAACTGGGTGGCTGTTGGGTGCGGTGGCTCATGCGTGTAATCACAGCACTTTGGGAGGCCGAGGTGGGCGGATCACTTTAGCTCAGGAGTTGGAGACCAGCCTGGGCAGCATGGCGAAACCCCATCTCTACTAAAAATAGAAAACCGGGTGTGGTGGTGCACGCCTGTAATCCCAGCTACTCGGGAGGCTGAAGCAGGAGGATCCCTTGAGCCCGGGAGGTGGAGGTTGCTGTGAGCCCTGATCACGCCGCCACACTCCAGGGACAGAGACCCGTCTCTAAATAAATAAATAAATAAATAAATAAATACACACACATCAAAATCCTGTTTTTCATGGAGTCACCCTAACCGTAACGCTCTCTCCTGTGTCTCCTCCCTTCCCTTCCCTCCGGCTGCAAAGCCATCGCTTGCTGTTCCTAGTCCCTGGGCGGGCCCTGTATTCCTGAGCCCTCTGTGTACCCTGCTACTGCAGGTGGCACTGCTCCTCCGACAGGTTGAAAATTCGCCAAACAGACCTGGAGCTCGGTTCTCTTTGGCTGGCGCCTGGCACGTGACCAGCAGGCAGCCAGCTGCTGTGGAAGCGGAGCCCGGAGACCGGCAGGGCGGGGCCGGGGCCGGGGCCGGAAAGGCGCGTCTGCGCACGCCCGCAGCTCTCCGGTTCCCGGCTCGGGCGAGGCTGTGTTCTGATTGGCTTAAGACGTGGGCTTCCCTTTGTATGGGCCGGAGGCGGAGCTCTGGCCCGCCCCGCGCCTGGCGTCAGTGTCTTCCGGTTCGCAAGCCCGCGGCAAGCTTCGTTCCCAGGCTCTGATTGGTCCGGCGGCTCTGGGTTCTGCGCGTGGGGTGCGGGGGAAGGGCGGGCTTGCGCACTGCCTCGGCCGCGCCCCGGCGCCGGTGGAAGGGAGCTGGCCCAAGCTCCCACGGCGTCCGCGGCGCCCTCCTTCCGCCCCTGCCCGGCCCGCTGGACCCGGCCCGCCCTCTGCCATCCGTCCCTGGCGGGCCCGATGCCTGTCGGCCGCTCCCTCCGTCCCCATGCGGACAGGTCCCCGCCTTCTGCGGGCTGCCTGGCTTTTGAATGCTTTGAAGGGGAACAATGGAGCGAAGGATAGAGCGAGCAGCAGGGGGCAGTTGCGTTCAGGGCCTTAAATGCCAAACAAGTGCCCTAAAAGCCTGGGCCAAACACTCAGGCTCTAAAGCACGGGCTGAATGGGGCATCCTAGGAATAGCTCTGGAGTGAAAAAAGGAGCGAAGAGAGCGTTTGAAGGCACGGACTGAGGCCTTTCCTGCCTGCCTGAGCCCTGTGTCTGGCTCTGCTGGGTGGAGGGATCTTTGGGGACCAGTCGGGGCTCGGATGGAGGGGCAGGGTGTGTTGGGGCCAGCTAGTGAGGGGCGGGGGTCCCTGCTTCCCCTTGGCCTGAGGCAGAGGTGGGACGTGGGAGTCTCCCAACCAGGAGCAGGTTGGGGTGTGGGTGCGGCTGTAGGCAGGGGCGCAGGCTCTCTAGTCTCGCTGGAGAACTCGAACATCGGTACTTCCGAGGGCAGCTGCTGGAAGTCCAGGTCCTGGGCCTGCCTGGGTCTGGCTAGCTCCCAGGCCTTGAAGCCCCAGGTCCTGCAGACACACTCGACGACGTGTTCGGGAAGGGCCTTGGTACTGGGAGAAGGGGGCGGGGAGCTTCTTGCCCTGAGGGAGTGTTTTTTTCCTTCTGGGCAAGAGAATTAATTGCTCATAGTTGAAAGGCAGGAAGTACCCGCACAGCCTCTCCTCCCCAGATCTGCAGGTCAGGGTCATATGTGCCCACATTTGCACAGAGCCTTACTCTGACATGCGTGCAAACACACGCCTAGTACCCCTGCACTAGTGCCCGCAGGCCCGCCTTCGGAACAGACGCCTGGTGCCCAAGTGCCTTGCCCCTCTCCCCACATCTATACCCCAGGGATTTCCCTCCCACCAAATTGAAGTAAGTTGTCTGCTTGACTTGTCAACCGCCTCCTGCCTCCTGCCTTCCCGATTTCCCGGAGAAAAGCTGCTGCCCTGTGGTAGAGAGTGGAGGAAAGCCCCACCACCCGTGGATGAGGGAGGCCCCAAGACTTGCCCCCAGGGTAGCTAAGATCTTACTCCGAGGGGGCTGCCCCCCTCAGGCCTATGACGGGCAGGTGCAGCTGCAGGGGAAGGGAGGCAGAGCAGTCTCTTCCGGCAGCAGGAAGTGGTAACCGCCTATGGGGAAATCGTGGGGCTGAGCAGAAGGGGAACCGGAGCTGAACTCTCCTCCCCTACCAAGGGGGCCTGGAGGGAATGGCAGCCAGCTGCTGAGGTTCTGCTCTCTGGTGCTGACCTTCCTTCCCCCTCCCCTCTGAACTTCCCACCCCAGCTCTCAAGGCTCCTTGGACCTCTCTGGGGGCTGACTTGGGAAGGGAGGACCCCATCCGATGTCTGGGGGAAGCAGGCCACCCAGGGGAGTCCAGAGCCTGGGGCAGCAATGGTGTTCATGTCCACTGGTACTGTGGGCCAGCGGCCCCGCTGTGAACTGTGCAGTCTGGCAGTGGTGACCAGGGACAGCCTTCTGGAGGTGGGGGGAGGGCAGCCTGGGATGCCAGCTTATGTTGGGGCTCTCATGCCCGCTCCGGCTGCTTGGCAGCGGGGCTTTGGGCACAAGGCAGTCTAGGTGCAGGCCCAGTGGGAGGAGACGGCAAGACCGGGGCACAGTGGGGCTGGAAGGGGCGCCCTGCCCCCAGGAGCCCCTCGCGGGCAGTGCCAGCCCTGGGCCGCCCCGCCCCACCGGGAGCCGCGCTGGGGGCGGGGCTGGGCGGAGCCCGCGCAGGGTGCTGGCCGCAGCGCCCCCAAGTCCCGGCGCCGGGCCCACTCACGGCCGCGTGGGAGCAGTGGGGTTCGACGGCGCGGCCGCTAGGCCGCCATGGCCGCTCACGGGAAGCTGCGGCGGGAGCGGGGGCTGCAGGCTGAGTATGAGACGCAAGTCAAAGGTGAGAGGGCGCCGGGCGCTCCCGGCTCGTTTCCTGCGGAGACCCCAAGGTCGTGAGGGAGCCCCAAGCGTCCCCGCGCTGACCCAGGGCCCGATGCTCTCCCCAGCGACCTCTGGAGTGGGGGTGGAGGAGGGAGCCTGAGCCCCTTGCCTGCCTCCCCACGCCCATTTGGCCTCAACCGCCTGCCATCTTCCCTTCCTTCTTTCCTGTCTTCCTTCTTTTGGTCTTTGTCCTCCTTGGGTCTCTGCTCCTCACCCAAGGTTCAGTGTAGACACTGGTGGCCGCCGGTAAAGGGGAGCCGGATGTACCAACGTGCCCCCCAGAAGGCGGTAGTTTAGCTACAGTGAAGTCAACCACCTTCATTGGGCTAGGGGGTGGGGGGTGAGTAAGGGAGTCTGGGTGAGTGGATTGGTGGAGATCACCTGGCCCTAACCCCAGTGTAGTCCCTGGAGCCCCAGCACCTTTTGCCCCCCTTTAGCACTGAGGGGGATCAGAGGCAAGGGCCACTGTCTCTGGGTCAAGCTGGCACAGTGAGTCTTGGTTGAGAGATTTAACAGGGCTGGCTTCTCAGCCTTCTGAAATTGAACCTCTTTGGGTTCTGATAAACACCCATGTGCAAATCACATGCAAATCAGCTTTGCAAATTCTTAGCCAATAGCTTGTGCCCATCTTATTCAGGGCATGGTAACTCTTGCAAAGGAAAGAGGCAGCATCTCAGCGCCAGCAGCTCCTCCATATCACTCTCAATCACTCCATTTTACCAGTTACGGAAACAAGCTCAGAGAGGTGCAGTGACTTGCCCGTGGTAACACAGCACTACAACTTCTAGGACGTAGAATGCAATAGCCCTTGAAGTGCCTTTCAACCCAGAGATGTAGGTTCTAACATCATTATTCAGTGCAAGCAATTTATACCCTTTAAAGTATGCCCCAGTCCTCCTCCTTTGGAAAAGGCAGCCTGTGTCCAGAACCAGCTTGAGGTGACTACGCAGGGTGAGCCAGCTTTCCAAGCCTCACCATCATCTTGCTCAGATGGAAGTAATCATCTCCATCCTGCTTCCCCAAAATGCCATGAAGCTGAAAGACTTGGAAAACTTCAATCAGCAAATATGGGTCAGTGATTTCACACTGAAAAGTTGGGGTTTCGAGCAAGACTATCTAAGGGTTCCTCACTTGCTCTGGGTCTGCATCCCACACCCTAGAAAAACTTCCTACCATGCTACAAAACGGGGTCACTGTCTTGACACCCTAAATTCTCAAAGGTCAGCATAGCCGTGGTTTTGGAGACCATCTTCTCTTCTGTTTTGCTTGTCAGCAGAAGTGAGACCAAATGCCTTGCTCACAGGAAGTGCTGGTGGGGCCCTGGGCCCAGCTCTGTAATTCAGGCAGACATGGATTCCAGCTCTCCTTTTGCCAGATGTTTCCTATACATCTCTGCTGTCCCAGGCCCTGGAAGTATACTGCTGTACAGGAGAGAAGCCCGACTCCAGCCCCTCCAGCCCTGGCTTTTTACCCAGAGTAAAAACAGTGATTCAACGAGGACTCTCCTGATTTCAAATGGCGTCAGCACCCACCCTGCCCTCACGTGGCTCATGGGTCTAGTGGGGGAGACGTAGACTTTCCATTATGATAATAAGCACCACAGAGGGAAAGTGCAGTGTGCCAAGAAGGGGTCGGAAGAGGGCCAGCCCTAGTTTGGGGGGAGGCCAGGACAGGGTGTGCTGACGAGTTTGTCTGAACTGAGATCTGAAAGCTCGGCCAGGAAAGCCACCAGTGCAATCAACTTGCAATTCACAAGTTTCCTGCTCAACACCAGCCGGGTGTGCATGGCCGGATCTGGACTGGGACATGGCTTCCAGTTAGCTTTTACTGCCGGCAGTGATGAAGAAAGGCAGCGGTTCCCTCTGCTGGTTCCTTCTGCACTGTTCAGTTGTCATAAGTCCCCAGAGATTGTATTCCTCTGGGGGAAGCAGGGCAAGACAGGCTCCAGAGGGCCAGTGAGGTGAGCAGTCGCACCTTTCTTGGAATGAAATGAGATTTACTTCTATCAAAAAATGTTAAACCGGGCTGGGCGTGGTGGCTCACGCCTGTAATCCCAGCACTTTGGGAGGCCGAGGCGGGCGGATCACCTGAGGTCAGGAGTTTGAGACCCAGTCTGGCCAACGTGGTGAAACCCTGTCTCTACTAAAAATACAAAAATTAGCTGGGTGTGGTGGTGCATGCCTGTAGTCCCAGCTACTCGGGAGGCTGAGGTGGGAGAATCGCTTGAACCCGGGAGGCGGAGGTTTCAGGGAGCCGAGATTGCACCACTGTACTCCAGCCTGGGCAATGTCCTCCGTCTCAAAACAAAATAAACAAAACAAAACGTTAAACTGATTCAGTGAGGACTCTCCTGGTTTCAAATGGCATTAGCGCCCACCCCACCTGGCCTTGGAGCTGACAAGTTAACCACAGGAGGCCAGCCTCAGATAGGATGAGGACACTCTCCATCTGTCTCACTTGGCATCGTGGGCTCTGCCCTGCCCTGTCGGGAGGTCCCCCGCCCCAGGCTTCCACTTACCCAGCTTGATCCCCCAGTGGGAAGAGCTCTCCTGTTCAGTAATTCAATTGGAAGGATCAGGCTCCTGGGTCCCTCACCTGGCTAGTCTGGTGGGGGCAGGGAGTGGAGGGACGGAGGGGTGGGTGACGCATGCAGCCAGGGCTGGGGCACCTGGAGTCAGGGGAGCTGAGACTAGGGAGGGGACATTCTGCAAGAGGAGATCAGGGAGGAGGTAAGGATGCTGGGCAGGCCAAACCCACAGGGTCCCCATGCAACAGGCCCTGGGAAGTCACTGGCGGGACAGAAATCCAACGGGATTGAGCTCTTCCCAGCGGAGTCCTCCCTCGCTTGTCCTGGTCTGAATCCCTGCCGTCTTTTGCCTGGACTAGTGCGGTAGCGGCCACCTGGGCTCCACCTGGCAGTGTGAGTGGGCCCTGAAAACGAAGCTGGACCACATTCCCCCACTACTGTGGCTCCTCTCTCACTCGGAGTCCAGCTGGGAGTTCTGCCTAGACCACGGGCTCTGTGCCATCTGTCCCTACCGGTCTCTGGGACTCCCCCTACTGCCCCCACACAGCCAGCTGCAGCCTTCTGCTCCAACGATGCAGCTTGTTCTTGACCACCCTCCTTTAAAAAGAGATCCTCCCTGTCCCCACCCACCCCCGGCTCTGATCTTGCTTTGTGTGTTCATCTTCGCAGCACCCATCACTCCTGGACATTCTGGTATGTGTCCGTGCCCCATTCCAATCCCAGCTCCAAGAGGGCAGACACTTGGTCAACCCTCTTTGCCTCTGTATTTAAAACGTGCCTGCCACAGAATGGGTGCATAATCAACATTCTGCTGAAGGAAGAAATCAATTCATGTCCCTCCCTGGGGATGTGCATGGAGATGAGTAGGTGGGCAGCCTACTGGCCAGAAGCTGAGCTAGCATCTTATTTACCTGGGACCCTCAGTGCCTGGCTGGGCACTCAGGAGGTGGCAAAAGTGTCTTCCGCAGGTTGCTTAAACTTGCTGGACAGGCACTTCTTTGCTTCAGGCCTGTGTGGGGGAAGCAGTGTTGCCAAATCAAGCCAGTGATAGGGTGTCAAAAGGCTGGCGGTATGGGGCCCTGGGTGTGACTCTTTCTGCACGGTGAGGGAATGCACAGGTGGGGTGGGGGATGATTGGGAGTGGGAAGTGGGGACAGAAGACAGGGACTAGCTCCCTGCCCCATCCTTTCACTTCCAAGGTGGGATCAGCTCTCCTTGGTGCCCAGCCCTCACTGTGGACTGTCCTTTCCCCTGGGGCCTGAGGGCAGGGTTCCCCAGCCACTGAGACTGCGAGATCGCTGCAGGCTTGCCCTGAGCAGCGCTATGATCTGTGTGTTGTGTATCTGTGTGTTTGCAAGGGAGGCTGCCACCTCCTGGGGCCTGGGTACTGGGGGAAAGGAAGTGGCAGGGGAAACCATTCAGTGGCTTTCCAGGAATGAGGGAGAGACAGGAAGCCAAACTGAAAGGTGCCTGGCTGGCGTTGGGGTGAGACAGGGTTGGGCAGCCTTGTGTTCCACCCACCGTGAATGGCTTCACCCTTCCCAGGGCGGCCTTGCTCCCTCTTACGCTGGGCCTTTGTGCGGCTCTCCCCTCTCTCTGGGACACCCTTCTCTTTCCCCCTCAACCGGGTGGCTCGGGCCATCTGTTGGCCTCAGCACAGAGGTGGGCTGGACAGCTGAGGCCAGATCTGCCTGCAGGGGCCTAGCCTCTTTCCTCCCCTCTTAGTTCCTGCCTTCAACCTAGGCTGGGTCCAAAGGAGCCCTCAGAGCAGACGGGACTGGGGTCTGTGTATCTCTGCCTCTCCCACCCCACGCTGGCCTGGCTGACCCAGGCAGGGCATGCTGGCCAGGCCTGAGCTGTGGTTCCCCCCACAGAGATGCGCTGGCAGCTGAGCGAGCAGCTGCGCTGCCTGGAGCTGCAGGGTGAGCTGCGGCGGGAGCTGCTGCAGGAACTGGCAGAGTTCATGCGGCGCCGCGCTGAGGTGGAGCTGGAGTACTCCCGGGGCCTGGAAAAGCTGGCCGAGCGCTTCTCCAGCCGTGGAGGCCGCCTGGGTAGCAGCCGGGAGCACCAAAGCTTCCGGTAGGTGATGTGCTGGCAGGGGGGCCACGGCAGGGTCTGCTTGCAGGTCTCACTGCCCCTCTACCCCCAGGAAGGAGCCGTCACTCCTGTCGCCCTTGCACTGCTGGGCAGTGCTGCTGCAGCATACGCGGCAGCAGAGCCGGGAGAGCGCGGCCCTGAGCGAGGTGCTGGCCGGGCCCCTGGCCCAGCGCCTGAGTCACATTGCGGAGGACGTGGGGCGCCTGGTCAAGAAGGTGAGGCTCTCACCCTGGGCCATGGGAAGTGTTCAAGGCTTTGGGATCAGGAGCCTGGGAGGGCACTGGAGGCCAGGTGGGGACCAGGCAGAATGAATCTGTGTGCCTCCCAGATGGGGCTTGAGCTGGGCAGAGCTTCCAGTGCCTGGCGGGGCCTCTCTGGGCAGTGCCGTGCTCACCCCTGCCTCTGCCTCTAGAGCAGGGATCTGGAGCAGCAGCTGCAGGACGAGCTCCTGGAGGTGGTCTCAGAGCTCCAGACGGTGAGGAAAGGGCCGGGGAGGGGCCTGCCCCAATGGCCCAGGGAGAAATGCCACTCACAGCTGGGGAAGAACATCCCCAGACCATCACATCTCCCAAGCCAGGCTCAGGGAGAAGCATGCACCTAGGGGCAAAGGCCCTCTCTCCCTAAGCACAAGGCATTAGGCTAAGTGCTCACATGGGATTGCCCAGCTCTGAGATTCAAGTTCCAGAGGGGCAGGGATGGAGGGTTAGGGGCTGGCCCGGCCGTGGCCTTCAGCAGCACTACCTTGCTTTGGGTCTCCTTGCAGGCCAAGAAGACGTACCAGGCATATCACATGGAGAGCGTGAATGCTGAGGCCAAGCTCCGGGAGGCCGAGCGGCAGGAGGAGAAGCGGGCAGGCCGGAGTGTCCCCATCACCACTGCTGCTGCCACTGAGGCAGGGCCCCTCCGCAAGAGCTCCCTCAAGAAGGGAGGGCGGCTGGTGGAGAAGGTGGGCCTGGGGGGCACCTCAGATGCAGGCCTATGGGGCATGGGCCCTGACTAGGACCTGCTGTGCTGAGGAGGAAGCCAGGGCTGGGTGCAGGGGAGGGCGGGAGTGGCAGGACGGTGCCATCAGGTTCCAGGGATTCCATACGGAAGGCTCCCAGGGCCTGAGAGAGCGGGCAAAATGGTCACCCGGCCCTGGGCAGCCCCACGCAGCCTCTGCAAGCTCTGAGCAGGGCTCCTGCAGCTCTGCTGTTCTGCCAGCCATTCCATAAGGTTTGAAAGGGGCGAGAAGACACTTAAGGTGGGCGATGGGGTGACACGCACGGAGAAAGGGCGTTTGAGGTGAGCCCAGTAGAGAGAGTGGGGAGGTTGGGAAATGCCTAGATGGAGCTGCCAGGCTGTGCGGGGCTGAGAGTGATGGTCTCTGGGACTCTGGGAGCAGAGGAGGGAGTCGGGCATCTCCGGTGTTCTTAGGGGAAATGACAGAGTTTGGCTGTGTTGGGGGAAGGTCTCCCTGGTTGCTGTGGTTAAAGTGCCAACTTTAGCCGGGCACAGTGGCTCACGCCTGTAATCCCAGCACTTTGGGAGGCCGAGACGGGTGGATCACCTGAGGTCATGAGTTCAAGACCAACTTGGCAACATGGTGAAACCCTGTCTCTACTAAAAATACAAAAATTAGCCGGGCATGATGGCGGGTGCCTGTAATCCCAGCTACTCAGGAGGCTGAGGCAGGAGAATAACTTGAACACTGGAGGCGGAGGTTGCAGTGATCTAAGATTGTGCCACTGTACTCCAGCCTGGGCAACAGAGTGAAACTCTGTCTCAAAAAAAAAAAAAAAAATAGAGTGCCAGCTTTAGAACCCAGTTGCCACCAGGTTCTGTCTCATGGCCCTCGATGATCTATCCCTACCCCTTGCGGTGCTCGCTCCCCCTCAGCCCTGGCCCCTGCAGAGGCCTGTGGCCACTTCCAGCTGTGCACCTGTGTGCTAGCTCCAAGCTGGGTTTCTCGTACACCCTCCATGGTGGGGTGCCACGCGCGCACTTTCCACTCATCAGGTATCTGTGAATAGTTCTGTGTCACCCCCCACCTCTGTGGGGAATGTTGTGGCTCGAACCAAGGCAAGTGGCGGAAGCACAGCAGGCAGCGCCAGCACTGGCAGGTGAACAGCCGGGGAGTCAAGTCACCTCCTGGCATTGGGCTGTGGTGTGGGGAAGGCAGCAGGACTTCTGGGCTTGACCAGTTCCGGTGTAGTTGTCCACAGCGAGAGGGGTGGCGATGGGCATTACATGAAAGGCCAGAGATAGGGGCTGGCCACGTGCGTGACCCTGGCACACCTGCATTGTCTTGAGTAGCGGCAGGCCAAGTTCATGGAGCACAAACTCAAGTGCACAAAGGCGCGCAACGAGTACCTGCTGAGCCTGGCCAGCGTCAACGCCGCTGTCAGTAACTACTACCTGCATGACGTCTTGGACCTCATGGATGTGAGTCCTTGGTGGGCAGGTGGGAAAAGGTGCCTGGTGCCCCGGGGCTGGGAAATTACAGCTCCAGGACCCACCCAAGCATCTCCTTGTTTCCTCCTCAGTGCTGCGACACAGGGTTCCACCTGGCCCTGGGGCAGGTGCTCCGAAGCTACATGGCCGCTGAGAGCCGCACCCAGGCCTCCCAAGTGCAGGGCCTGGGCAGCCTGGAAGAAGCCGTGGAGGCCCTGGATCCTTCAGGGGACAAGGCCAAGGTTCTCGAGGTGCATGCTACCATCTTCTGTCCCCCGCTGCGCTTTGACTACCACCCCCATGATGGGGATGAGGTGAGGGTCACCCCCTGCTGGGCTCGGCATTCTCTGGCCTTCACTGTACTGGCGGGCAGTGGAGTGGCGTGACCCACGCTTTGCTCAGGAATCCAAGTTCTCCATGGTCTCAGGCAGTGCAGCAGCTAGAGAACTGTCCCACTTCCATTTGCAGCCTCACTCCAAGGGTGCACCGCCACAGTGGCCAAGGAGGGCAAGACACTAACTGTTCAAACCATGCAGCAGGCAGCCATGTAGCTGCCCATACATTGTTCTGGGCTGGTTTCTCTGTGTTTTTAAATTTCGTGACACAAACTTGGGAGGAAATGAAGCACACACACAGTAAGATGGAATCGGACTTCTTCATTATTCTTCTTCGAGCTAGTTTTTCCTGCAGCAGTTTATCCTGATGGGCATTGGCAATGACCTGGGATTACACTGGGCCCCTTGTGGGCCGACTTGGAACTTTATAAAGAGTCCAACATCACCAGGGCTTCTGATGGCACACAGCTACTCCCTAACCTACCCCTCCTGTTCCCAGCTTCCACCCCCGGAAACAGCCACCCACCTCTCAGCATCAAGCAGCCATTTTCCACTGGCCAATGACGACTAGCATCTCTCACAGCCACCACACGCTTCCCTGCATCTTGTTCTCCCAGTGGGTTTATTCCAGAATTTTTGGCTAAATTAACATTCAATGTTTCAATCACCATGACAACAGGTACTGTTGGCAGCTGAGCCATGTACTGTATTAGGATCACATGTCCTTCCTTGGACAATTTTTCCTTTTCTTCTGAAATTTATAACTCCCTCGCCTCAGGAATGCTGCTTGCTAGAACATACCCATTGCTAGGAGTTGATCGTTACCTCGTCCCAGCACTGTTCTCCACACCAGGCACCCTGTGGGGTCCACCTTCTCCTCTGCGCCCTCCCTCAGAGCCCCAGAGCCCTCCAGTCTGGGCTGCTTCGCTTCTGCCCAGTGCTCTGTTTCTGGATTCCACGGCAGCAGCTTTCTTGGTTTGATGCCCTTGTTTTCGTGGACGCCTTCACCAAGGGTTTCCTGACTTAGCACATCTGAAAATGTCTGTATTCTTTGTTTTGTTTTGTTTTTGAGATAGGGTCTCACTCTGTCCCCCCGGCTGGAGTGCAGTGGTGTGATGTGATCTCAGCTCACTGCAGATGCAACCTTCTGGTCCTCTCACCTCAGCTTCCCAAGTAGCTGGGACTACAGGCTTGCACTACCACGCCAGGCTAATTTTTCTATATTTTATAGCGAGGGAGTTTCACTATGTTGCCCAGGTTGGTCTCAAACTCCTGGGCTCAAAGAATTGGCCTGCTTCAGCCTCCCAAAGTGCTGGGATTACAGGTGTGCCACGTGCCCGGCCAACCCTTTATTCTTATTTCATGAATACAGTACTTCTTGAATCTTTCTGAAACTTTTATTTATTTATTTTTTTGAGAGGAAGTTTCCCTCTTGTTGCTCAGGCTGGAGTGCAGTGGCACGATCTTGGCCCACTGCAACCTTCACTTCCTAGGTTCAAGTGATTCTCCTGCCTCAGCCTCCCAATTAGCTGGAATTACAGGTACCAGATACCACACCTGGCTAATTTTTTAATTTTTTAAATTAAATTTAAAAAATTTTTTTGAGACAAAGTCTTTCTCTGACACCCAGGCTACAGTGCTGTGGTGCAATCTCGGCTCACTGCAACCTCTGCCTCCCAGGTTCAAGCAATTCTCCTGCCTCAGCCTCCCAAGTAGCTGGGACTACAGGTGTGCACCACCACGCCTGGCTGATTTTTGTATTTTTAGTAGAGACGGGGTTTCACTATGTTGGCCAGGCTCGTCTCAAACTCCTGATCTCAGGTGATCCGCCTGCCTCAGCCTCACAAAGTGCTGGGATTACAGGCGTGGGCCACCATGCCCGACCCTTTTATTTTTATTTTTTAGTAGAGACAGGGTTTCACCATGTTGGCCAGGCTTGTCTCGAACTCCTGACTTCAGGTGATCTGCTTGCCTCAGCCTCCCAAAGTGCTGGGATTACAGGTGTGAGCCACCATGCCCCGCCTGAAATGTTTTTTGTTTTCTCCTGTTCCTGCATCTGCTCTATTTTCTTGCTTTTGTCCCTGAGTCCAAAATCCCTGCTATATCCTTTCCAGAGAGCAAATCGTTAGTTTTCTGCTGATCGTGTCTGTTTGGTGATTCTTGGCCGTCAGTTCATATTTAAGAAGAGGCCTGAACACATACCCCACAAATGTGGATGTCTGTGGTGTTTCCTCCTGGCCTAGCCAGTTTCCCCAGTAGAAACTCTTCTGACCCTGTCTAGGGAGGAGAGGGGGCGAGAGGGCTGGGAGCTCACTCTGCTGTGTGGATTTCCTTGGAACTACCTGGTTTCAGTTCCACACCCTCCAGCCAAAGCCTAACAGGAACAGTCCTGTAATCTCCACTGCTAGAGGGAACCTGCTCTGTGGGGAACCTGGGGCCTCTCAGTGAGAGGGTGGTGGAAGGGTGGTAGAGGATTTGGGCTTGCCTTAAGGGATCTGCGGGGAGGGCCCAGGTAAGTGGGGCTTGGTCCTGGATTAAATGCCTTCTGGAAGCAGAGTAATTGTATGATGTATGATTGGATGTCTTGATTAATCTTATCTAGAAGGAGACAGTGATGGAAGCTGAAGTGATGCGAGGAAGTCATAGTCACTTACATTAACCAGGATGGAGGGATGATTTTGTGGCTTGGAAGAAGTTCTTGATTTTGTCCTCACTCAGACGTGATCGCAGAGTGGTCTTGTTTCTGTCTTCGCCCATCAAGGTCACACAGTGGCCTTGCCTGATGTTGATGCTCTGGGACATTTCCGGTGTTCAGCAGGACAGCACTGAGACTGGGCTGATAGGACCCTGAGTCCAAAATCCCTGCTATATCCTTTCCAGAGAGCAAATCGTTAGTTTTCTACTGATCGTGTGAGTTTAAGGGAGGGATCAAATTTCAATGTTCCCTAGGGTATGGATAGATTTATTTTTTCTCTAGAGAGAGGGTCTGGCTCTGTTGTACAGGCTGGAGTGCAGTAGTGTGATCATAGCTCACTGCAGCCTCCAACTCCTGGGCTCAAGTCATCCTCCTGCCTGAGACTCCCGAGTAGCTGGGACTATAGGTGCATACCACCATGTGTGGCTAAAATTTGTACTTTAAAAACAATTATTTTATTTTTAAATGTTAATCTATTTATTTATTTATTTTGAGACCGGGTTATGAGACGGGCTAATTTTTGTATTTTTGGTAGAGTCAGGATTTTACCATATTGTCAAGGCTGGTCTCGAACTCCTGGGCTCAAGTGATCCACCCGCCTCAGCCTCCCAAAGTGCTGGGATTGCAGGTGTGAGCTAGTCCAGCCTAGATGGACTTTTAAAAAAATGTGTGGCAAAATACACATAGCATAAAACATACCACATTCACCATTTTTAAGTGTGCGGCCCAGGGGCAGAAGCACATTCACGGTGCTGTGCAGCCATCACCACCATCCAGCCGCAGAACTTGTTCATCTTCCCAAACTGAAGCTCTGGCCCGTTCAACCCCAACTCCCCACCCCCCAGCCCCTGGCACCCCCCCTTCCACTGTCCGTCTACAGAGTTCGCGGCTCTCCTTTGAGGCCCCTCACAGGAGTGGAATCCTATAGTGCGGGCCTTTCTGTGACTGGCTCCTTTCACTGAGTCCCATGTCCTCAAGGGTCAGCCATGTCGGAGCCCATCTCAAAATGGCCTTACTTTCTTCTCCATGACTTGCACCTTCCTGCAGTCCCGTAAGGCGGGGCTTGGTGGAGATGGAGAGCAGGGCAAGTGTTTAGCCACAGATGAGTCCTCACTTTCAATTTTAACTGTAATGTCAACTTTCTGGATGTTTACATGCTTAAAAGAGTAATTCCTTCCTTCATAAAGTATTGGCTCCCACTCTGCCCATGACGCAAGCTGCTCTCATCTTGCCACACGGAAATTTATGTCTGCCCAGTTAGAGTGAGCAGTTTTTCTGTCTACTCCTTTCCCTAGAAGAAGTGGGGCTGGGCCCTCCCTGTTCTGTCTCAGACTTCAGTCTTCCTTACCATTCTATTTTATTTTATTTTATTTTATTTTGAGGTGGAGTCTCGCTCTGTCACCCAGGCTGGAGTGCAATGGCGCCGTCTCGGCTCACTGCAACCTCTGCCTCCCAGGTTCAAACGATTCTCCTGCCTCAGCCTCCCAAGTAGTACAGGCACGCGCCACCATGCCTGGCTAATTTTTGTATTTTTTTAAATAGAGACGGGGTTTCACCATGCTGGTCATGCTGGTCTTGAACTCCTGACTTTGTGATCTGCCTGCCTCGGCCTCCCAAAGTGCTGGGACTACAGATGCACACCACCATGCCCAGTTAATTTTTTGTATATTTAGCGGATACAGGGTTTCACTATGTTGGCCAGGCTAGTCTCGAACTCCTGACCTCAGATAATCCATCCGCCTCAGCCTTCCAAAGTGCTAGGATTACAGGCGTGTGCCACTGTGCTGGGCCACCATTCTGTTTTAAATAAGAGTTTTATTAAGGTATGATTGATATACCATAAAATTCACTGTTGTAAAGTGTACAGTTCAGTGGTTTTTAGTATATTTAGAGTTGTGCAGCCATCACCATCTAATTCCAGAACATTTTTGTCACCCCCTAAAGGAGCCATTAGCCACTACTCCTCCCTGTTCCCCTCTCCAGCCCCTGGCACCCACTCCTCTGCTTCCTGTCTCTATGAATTTGCCTGGCTGAACACTTTACATAAGTGGATTCATTCCTTCTCCTGGCTGAATCCTCTTCCATTCTGTGGGTAGACTGCACTGAGTTTAGCCATCCGTCTGTTGGATGAGTGGTGCCGCTATGAACCTCTGTGGACAAGTCTTAGTTTGGACACATGTGTTCCCTTCTGCCATTCTTCAGCTGAGCGTCTGGGCTGGTGGTCCTGTGTCTGGCCGCCAGGCCACAAAAGGGTGCTTGCTTCCCTTATGCCCCGGGAATCTTGGCACCTACTGCCCAAGCGCAGCCCTCAGCCCCCTGGCCGCCACCCTCTGCAGGTGGCTGAGATCTGCGTTGAAATGGAGCTGCAGGACGAGATTCTGCCCAGAGCCCAGAACATCCAGAGCCGCCTGGACCGACAGACCATCGAGACGGAGGAGGTCTGGGCAGCCCACTGGGGGTTAGAGGGAGACAGGGACCTGGAGCCTGTATAGCCTGCTGTTGGAAGTGGCTGCCCTGCCTGCCCGCCTCCCTCTGGTCCCTTCCTTCTGACTTGGACTTCCTGTCTCCATCCCTGTCCCCCATCTCTTACCACCCTGTGCGGTCTCCTCTGCAGGTGAACAAGACGCTGAAGGCGACACTGCAGGCCCTGCTGGAGGTGGTGGCCTCGGATGACGGGGATGTGCTCGACTCCTTCCAGACCAGCCCCTCCACCGAGTCCCTCAAGTCCACCAGCTCAGACCCAGGCAGCCGGCAGGCAGGCCGGAGGCGTGGCCAGCAGCAGGAGACCGAAACCTTCTACCTCACGGTGGGGAGGGCTGGGCTGGTGGGTGGGACCCGTGGGGGCGTGGCTGGGGCAGAGGGAGGGGCTCAAGCCAGGGCTAACACTTTGGGCTCTTCTTGGGGCTGCCTAGAAGCTCCAGGAGTATCTGAGTGGACGGAGCATCCTCGCCAAGCTGCAGGCCAAGCACGAGAAGCTGCAGGAGGCCCTTCAGCGAGGTGGGCCCAGGACCCTATGTAGCCCACGGTGCTCCCCTCCTGCCTGTCCTTGGCCATTATCCACACCTTTCTCTCTGGGATGCATTGAAGACCCTTGGCCTGAGAGGCAGACCAATGTTCTCCCACCCCACAGGTGACAAGGAGGAGCGGGAGATGTCTTGGTGAGTCCTTCATGAGGGGCTGGTGTGTTCTGAGAAGCTGGGGCCCTGCGATGGTCCCCCATCTCTTCTCTCCATCGGGCCCAGCTCAGCTGCCCAATTCCCTGAGCCTCAATATCCCAGTTTTCGCACTGGATTGTGGAATAACTTCAGAGAATTAGAGGCCTACTTGGCTGGGCTGGTGGGTGGGGCACCCTATTCTCCATGCGCGGCCCCCTCAGAGCCGGTTCCCGTTCACCGCAGGACCCAGTACACACAGAGAAAATTCCAGAAGAGCCGCCACCCCCGCCCCAGCTCCCAGTATAACCAGAGACTCTTTGGGGGAGACATGGAGAAGTTTATCCAGGTACTTGCTTTGCCCCACATGCCAGCCCACCTGTACATGCTGGTCTTTCTTCAGCCTTGGGTCACCTCAGTGACCAGAGCATCTGCCTGATCCCAGGGTCCTCCACTCTCAGTCATCAACTGTCCCTTTCTGGGTGGGCCTCTTCCAGGCCGCTGTTGGGCTCCCCTGTAGCCTCTGCTGATTAAAGGGAGCATCCTTAACTAGTAATGGGAATGTATAGAAAACCTGGGCCAGCAGCATTTTTAGGTGCGAGATATTGAGAGCTTCTCCCCTGCAACTTCTGGCCAGCGTGGTACTGGGGGTCCTGGACAGTGAAATAAGGGGAAGCAAGAAAGATCAGAAAACTAATACTGAGATCAGAAAGTATCAGAGGGTGCCAGGCACGGTGGCTCACGCCTGTGATCCCGGCTCTTTGGGAGGCTGAGGTGGGCAGATCACTTCAGCCGAGGTGTTCAAGACCAGCCTGGGCAACACGGTGAAACCGCGTCTCTACTAAAAATACAAAAATTAGCCGGGCATGGCGGTACGTGCCTGTAATCCAAGGCTGGGGGGCGGGGGGAGGGAGGGAGGAAGGAAAAAAAAAAAGGAAAGACAGAAACAAAGAAAGAAAGAAATACAGAGAAATAAAAGGAAAGAAAGAAAAAAGAAAAGAGAAAAGTAAAGAAAGCATCAGAGGGGGCCAGGCATGGAGAATACCAGAAGATCAGAACTGATACCATCATTTTCAGTGATGTGGTTATGTGTGTAGAACATTCAAAAATCAACAGATTCTTTAAATGAACACTTTGAGTTTCTTTCTTTTTTATTTTATTTTTTTTTATTTGTTGAGACAGGGTCTTGTGCTGTTGACCAGGCTGAAGTGCAGTGGTCACGATCTCAGCTCACTGCAGCCTTCACCTCCTACCTGTTGGGGTTCAAGCGATTCTCATGCCTCAGCCTCCCAAGTAGCTGGGACTACAGGTGTGCACCACCACACCTGGTTAATTTTTATATTTTTAGAAGAGGTGAGGTTTCACCATGTTGGTCAGGTTGGTCTCGAACTTCTGACCTCAGGTGATCCTCCTGCCTCAGTCTCCCAAAGGGCTAGGATTACAGGCGTGAGCCACCACACCCAGCTTGAGTTTCTAAATGTTACTTGATTCAAGGTCGGTGTACAGAATTTAATTGCATTTTTATATTCCAGCAATAATTTGCAAATAAAATGTAAGGCACTGCCTAAAACCTCATCAAAGATATCAGACACCTAAGAGTGGATCTAACAAACAGTGTGCTAGGCCTCTATGCCGACAACGATGATGTGTTCTTGAGAGAAAATAAAAGCACTCAGCCTGGTGCGGTGGCTCATGCCTGTAATCCCACCGTTTGGGGAGATTGAGGCAGGAGTATCACTTGAGCCCAGGAAGTCGAGGCTGCAGTGAGCTGAGATCATGCCACTGCACTTCAGCCTGGGTGACAGAGTGAGACCTTGTCTCACAAAAAGAAAAAAAAGCAATTGAATGACAACACAGGGCATGCTGTGTCCATGGTGAAGTAAACACCCTCTGTCCCCAGTGCTCAGGCCAGCCTGTGCCCCTGGTGGTGGAGAGCTGCATTCGCTTCATTAACCTCAACGGTAAGCAGGACCCAGCCCCTCCCGCTGTCCTGGCACCCAGCACCCAGCTCCCAGCACCTGGCATGGGAGGCCATCCTGGAGGGGCTGGGGAAGATGCTCAGTGCCCACCAGCTCGTTGTCCTCCCACAGGCCTGCAGCATGAAGGCATCTTCCGGGTGTCGGGTGCCCAGCTCCGGGTCTCAGAGATCCGTGATGCCTTCGAGAGAGGTGGGGACGGGCAGGGCGGGCAGGGCTGGGGGCTCGGGCAGACGTTACCAGCTTCCTCCCCCCACTGCACCACTCGGCTGTCTGCAGGGGAGGACCCACTGGTGGAGGGCTGCACTGCCCACGATCTGGACTCGGTGGCCGGGGTGCTGAAGCTCTACTTCCGGAGCCTGGAGCCCCCACTCTTCCCCCCAGACCTGTTCAGCGAGCTGCTGGCTTCTTCGGGTGAGGCCGGGGCCTGAGGCCAGTGGGGGTAGGGCACTTGCTAGGGCAGCCCCACTCACTCGGCTCTCTCTGGGCGGTTTTGGCCACAGAGCTGGAGGCCACGGCAGAGAGGGTGGAGCACGTGAGCCGCCTGCTATGGCGGCTGCCCGCGCCAGTGCTGGTGGTTCTGCGCTACCTCTTCAACTTCCTCAACCAGTGAGTGCTGTGGGGCGAGTGCTGGGGTGGGGGCCAGGGTCGAGGGGATAAGGGGACTCAGGGTGCGGGCTCTCTGCTTGTGATGTGTGTGTCCCCCCAGCCTGGCCCAGTACAGCGATGAGAACATGATGGACCCCTACAACCTGGCCGTGTGCTTTGGGCCCACGCTGCTACCGGTGCCCGCTGGGCAGGACCCGGTGGCGCTGCAGGGCCGGGTGAACCAGCTGGTGCAGACGCTCATACTGCAGCCAGATCGGGTCTTCCCGCCCCTGACCTCACTGCCTGGCCCCGTCTACGAGAAGTGCATGGCACCGCCTTCCGCCAGCTGCCTGGGGTACACCCTTGGTGCTGCAGAGGGGATGGGGGGTCCACTGGAGAAGAGCCCCCCTCATCCACCTTGCTCTGCCCTGAACCTCAGGGATGCCCAGCTGGAGAGCCTGGGGGCGGACAACGAGCCGGAGCTGGAAGCTGAGATGCTTGCCCAGGAGGATGGTGAGGGCGATGGGCAGAGAGCCCCACCCTGTCCCTGCCCTAGTGTCCACACCCGCCCCCCCCCACCCACAGCTTGGACCCCCTCTCCTCCCCAGACCTGGAGGGGGTTGTGGAGGCTGTGGCCTGCTTTGCCTACACGGGCCGAACGGCCCAGGAGCTGAGCTTCCGGCGGGGGGACATACTGCGGCTGCACGAGAGGGCCTCGAGCGACTGGTGGCGGGGGGAGCACAATGGTGTGCGGGGCCTCATCCCCCACAAGTATATCACACTGCCTGAGGGGTAAGTGAGCTGCGCTCTCAGGCCCCAGGGTTCCTGGAGTCTCCGCACCTCCCCTTCATCCAGCCCTCCCCTGACCCCAAGTTAGATTCTGAAGGTCTGGGCTAGGCCAGAGAATGGAGCCTGTCTGACTACTTCTGACTGGCACGAAGGCTGCTGGCCCTGGACCCTGTGCAGGGAAGGAGCACTCAAAACAGGCTGGTGCTTCCCACCACAGGGCAGAGAAGCAGGTGGTGGGCGCAGGGCCGCAGACTGCAGGGGAGTCTGGGAGCAGTCCTGAGGGCCTCCTGGCATCAGAGCTGGTTCACCGGTGAGCAAGAAGACAGGGCTTGGGGGGCCCACACATGTGCTGTTCCAGGCCAGAGGGGACTGGGGTCAGGCTTTGGCCCCGTGGGAGTGGGAGGAGTTGGCAGATGAGGACGTGACAGAGTGACCCAGCTTGTGACAGGGAAAGAGGCTCTAGAGGAGCTTGGGGACCACTGGGCCAGCCTCCTTTCCTTGGCCACACCCCAGGGTGGGAGGAGCCACTGCCCAGTTAGCTCAGGGACTTCCCAGAGCCCCCACCAGGCTCCCCGTCTGTCCTGCAGGCCAGAGCCATGCATCTCACCCGAGGCCGTGGGACTCTCTGGACATAGACGACGCTGCTTGGTCCCAGCCTCCCCGGAGCAACACGTGGAGGTGGATAAGGTGAGAGTGGGTATGTGGCAGGTGAGGGACATCTGTCCTGGGGGGATCTTTGCCTTCCCTTGGGAGCCAAACTCCTCCCTCCTTGAGGTTCCAGTCCTTGCCCTCCCTGGCCTTAGCTCAGGGGAACCTGCCGCCAGACACACAGGCCCAAGGCAGACCCCATGGAGGGTAGAAAGGCAAAGATGTAAGGGCGAGTGGGGATGGAGAGGGATGGCCACAGAGGCAGGGATGAGAGGGACAGAAGACACCTGGCCTGGCTAGAGCCTGGGGCTTGCACGTTGGAATTCATGTTCGGCTTCAGAGCAGGGAGTGGCAGGGCTGAGTTAAGGCTGTTTACCTGGTAGAGGCAAGGGACTCCAGGGCAGATTTCAAGGCTGGCATCTGTAGCTGGGCTAGGTAACAGGCGGTGCCATGGCAGGCGCCTGGCATGCCAGGGAGGATGAAAGGGACAGATGGCAGGGAGGCAGGAGGGGGTGGCTGGTTGGGGATTGGAGTGGGGCAGCAGTGGCTCTCGCAGGGGCAGAGCGCAGGCTCAAGATGTGGCTCTGGCAAGCGCACGACCTGGGGAGCCCTGCTCCATGCTCTGTGCCATGGGACCTGTGAACACTGTTGGGCTGAACGTGGAAGCCCAGGGAAAGTTGCTAAGCCCAAGGAGGAGAGACCCGAGAACATGTGGGTGTCCCAGGTGTGGCCAAGCCCCCCGGCTTAGGGAGCCCAGGGAGGGTCGGGTAGACACGCAGGAGCAGGAGCGGGAGCCAGGGACAGAGCAGCCGGGAGATGCCATGGGAGGACACTGACCTGGGAGTTCCCCGCATGCTGGCGGTCCCTGAGGCCACGGGCAGGGGGACTGTGATCTCTGCCAAGGAAAGAGTGGGGGCGAGAAGAGAGGGGTCCCCACTTTGGGGCTAAACCAAGGAATTGCTGTCCTCAGAGGAGACTGTGACAGAGACACCAAAAGGGGCAGGCGGGATGCCAGGTGCGAAGTGGGGGAGAGCGACCTGGAGGCTGAGGGACTGGGGATGTTGTCTGAGGACTTGCTTTGGGAGTGGGAGGAACTCAGGTGGGTCTTGGGCAGGGTCAGTCGGGGGAGCTCACTGGTCACCCTCCCTTTCTTTCCCCTCCACTAGGCCGTGGCACAGAACATGGACTCTGTGTTTAAGGAGCTCTTGGGAAAGACCTCTGTCCGCCAGGGCCTCGGGCCAGCATCTGCCACCTCTCCCAGCCCTGGGCCCCGAAGCCCAAAGGCACCGGCCGGCAGCCGCCTGGGCAAGAACAAAGGCTTCTCCCGGGGCCCTGGGGCCCCAGCCTCACCCTCAGCATCCCACCCCCAGGGCCTGGACACAACCCCCAAGCCACACTGAGGTGCTGCTGCTGGAGCTGTGTGCCCCAGGCGGCTACCCCCTGGACCGGCCACTCTCCCCAGCCCTCTTGCTTCTCTCCAACCCTGTCCAGCAAGTTCAGGGTGCCTGCACTTCACCCTGTGCAGAGGTGGGATGGGGCCGCACATGCAGGGATGCCCACTCCACACCCTGCCTGCCTCTCAGCCCTGGCCCAGACCCCTTTTGGAGGCTGGGGAAAGCCCTATTCTGCGACTTTGTGGAGGGCTGGTCAGTGGCTGCTGGGTGGCAGGTACCCTTGCTTAGATGCCTGGCAGGGCTGGGTGGTGATTCATAAAGACCTCGTGTTGATTCCCTGATGGGAGCCAGCTCTCTGTCTCAGGGGTGGGCGGGTGGGTGCTGGAGGCCAGAACAGCTTCCCTGGGGGTCCTGCAGCTTTGAAGACTTGGCCGCCTGCACCATGGGTTCCAGAGCTGTGCACATTACTGTGGGTATGTGTGTGGGGGTCTGTGTATGGCTGTGTGCTGCCTCCACACCCACTGTTACCCTGATCCAAAGAGACCCCTTGCCATGTGGAAAATGAGCTGAGCTGCAACTTTTATTAGGGAGAGAATGAGGAGAGATGGAGGAAAGGAGGGATTAGAAAGGCAGAGACAGGAAGGTCCCCTGGCCCCAGCCCGGTCCTTCCTTTTCGGGCCCCTGGGACCGCTGTCTCACCTGGGGGCACCTGCTCCCTCTTTCCTGGCACCCCCAGGCCCCTCAGCCCTCTGCTGCAGCTCCTCCCACACCCAGCACGGTGAGCTGACCTGAGGGGCCCCCACAGTCTTGGGGCCTGAAGCTCTCCTCATACAGCTGGGGATGTGGAGACCCAGGCAGGGGCTGCGGCTTGTCCAGGGACACACAGTTTCCCAGCCTCGGGGCCACAGGATCTGGCCAATTCTCCATGGGTCCCCTTCCCAGTGGCCCCCAGGACCAGCCCCAGGAAGGCAACTGAGCTTCTCAAAGCCTCTGGAGGCAAGACACCCAATAGCTCCTTAGGATGAAGTGTCCTTGGCCAGGGAGGAGCTGGCAGTGGTGCAGGACTCATCTTGGGGACCCAGGCTGGGTGGGGTGCGCCCCCGGGCACAGCAGAGCAGGCTTCGCAGCTCTGAGGAGACGCTGCTGCTGAAGGATGCATAGATCCAGGGGTTGGTGCAGCTGTTGAGGCTGGCCAGCAACATGAGCAGCACGAAGGGCGCCCCTGTGAAGGTGGTGGGATCCACGTTGGGCTCAGGATGGCTGGTGGTGCACCGGGGCACGCCGCCAAGCCCGAGTGGCCCCCAACAGCCCTAGCCATGGCTATACCCACCTTCCAGAGGTGCCTCCGGGTCCCACGCGGCCCACAGCTGCACCAGGAAGAAGGGTGCCCAGCACAGCACATAGACGACCACAATCACCAGCGTCATCCTCACAGTCTTGGCCACGGCTGCTGACACGCGGGCTCCCTCACTGGGGTTGCCTGTCCGGCGTCCCCTGCGGCGCCCCCCAGGCCTCTCTGACGGCCCTGGCACCAGACTGGTGTGAATCTCCCGGAAGATGAGCACCTGGCAGGCAGCGATACCCAGGGTAGGTGCCACAAACACCATCAGGGCGATCCAGGTGACGTAGGTGCGACGGCCCCAGGGCTCCACAAAGCTGGCCCAGCAGTCGGTGACCCCGCTGCCACCTCCCACATTGCGCTGGGCAAAGATGAAGAGCTGGGGCAGGCTGAGAAGGAGCGAGAAGGCCCAAGCCACCAGCACTGGCCGGTTCCAGTGAGCCCCACCTCCATGGCGATACGCCAGCATGGGACGGCAGATGGCGCGGTGGCGGTCCAGCGTCATGGCCAGGATCATGTAGGAGGAGGCATACATGCCCACCATCTGCAGATACTTCACAGCCCGACACAGGGCATCCGGCCCACGGAAGCGGTCGGTGGCCTTCCAGGCCAGCTGGGGCAGCACTTGGAACAGAGCCACGGCCAGGTCAGCCAGGCACAAGTGGCCAATGAAGACGTGTATGGGTGCCCAGTGGCCCCGCCGGCCCCGCCGAGCTAGGGCCACCAGCACCAGGCCATTGCTCAGGGCCACGGCCACAAAGACTATGGAGAGCAGCGCCAGCTCCGCCTGGGCTAGCAGCGGGTCCCGGGTGTCCGGCGGCCTCTCCTGGCTGCTGTTGCTGGGCAGAGAGAGGTGCCCAAGCACAGCTGGGCAGGGGTGAGGAAGAAGGCCCGGTTAGAGAGGGTGCTGTGCATGGGGACTCAGGCCTGCCTCCCGTGCCCCCATCTGGACACCGTCTTCCTGGCTCCTAGCAGAGGGGACTCCAGGAAAGCCATGTTAAGGGGGATACACACCCCAGGCTCATGCAGTCCATAAGGGAGGGCAGCCCCAGCCCCAGCCCCAGCCCTGGCAGGGAAGTGGGGCTATGCCCCCCTGCCCGCTCGTTGGCAGCCTGGAAAGGTGCATCTAGAGGTGAGGGTGAAGGAGGTCTTTAGAAAGAGGGGCTTCCCTAAATTCTGCCCACTGGGCTCATGGGGGGGCAAGCCTTACCGGAAGTGGTGAACGTCATGAGCATGGTGGGGCCAGGACAGGTGTTCTGAGGGCCTGGAGGAGATGGGCAGACTCAGCCTCTGCCCGAGGGGCCAGCCCAATGACCCAGGTCTCTGAACTGGAGCCCTTACAGAGATGCTAGCACAGTGGGTGCCTGTTCGCCTGTGTGCACGTGTGCGGTGGGAGTATGGCCAGTCCTGGGCAGGGAAAATTGAGAGGGACGGTCAGACAGATGGATGCACAGAACCCAGGATCCCCCAGGCAGCCCATGAGTCCCGGGTTTGGAAGTGGGCGCCCCAGGCAGACACGCAGAACTCCGCTGCCCCAACCGAGGCCGAGGGAGGCCATCCGAGGGCTGGGGACTGGGCACGGGGGCGGGCCTGTGCAGCCCCTTACCTGGCTGGGCTCCTGGGCAGCTGGGTGGTAGCGTAAAGGTGGCTGGGTGCTCAGATCTGCTCTCCATCGGCCGCCCCGCCCTGGCCCAGCCCAGCCTCTGGGAGTGACCTGGCCAGGAGGGGACTTCCTCCCCCTCCCCCTTTCCCCCAGGCCTCCCCTGGCCTCCCGTTTCCTTTCCTTTCCCCAGGGCCTCCCTGGTCCTGGCCCAGGACTCCCTCCTCCCACTGCTATAGCCTCCACGCCCACCCTCACCCTACCACACTCCCCTGGTTGGATTGTCTGGGCTGGCAGTGCTCTGGGAGGTCACTTAGTTCAGCATTCCCATTTTATAAGTCGGGAAACTGAGGCCAGAGAGCAGTGGGTCTGGTCCAGGACTGCGCTGCTTTTTCGTGGGAGCTTCACGCCCCCTTCCCAAGTTGGGGTCCTCCTGCTCCTCGCTGGGTCCAGGCAAGGAAGGGGTGAAAACACTTTCGCTGGGCCCCTCCCAGGCCCACGCAGGCCCCTCCTCCTCCTCAATTAGGGCCCAGTTGGCCGGAGGTGAGGGACAGGAAAGGGAGGAGTGGGGCAGGGGCCAAGTCAGGCTTCATGAACCCCTGTGAGATCCAGGGACACCCCCACCCTCTTCCTCCTGCCGCACCTGCAACTACTTGTCCCAGGAAGAGGGGCTGGGGATCTCCATGTGCTCAAGGGCTCCCTCCCACCACACACGCCCTCACATACATGATACAGCCACACAGCCACAAACACACGACACAGAGACGCTCGCTCATGTTCCTGAACATGCCATGAGTGTGGATGCACCTTCCCTGTACCTGGACCCTTCTCCTCCCTCCCCCAACACCTCTCTCCTTCCCCTGCCCCCACACCCCCTCCAGCCCTCATCCCAGTCGTTCTCTTTCCACTCCCCCCCGCACCCAGGCCTGGCTTAGCTCAGCCGAGGCCAGCCCAGCCCAGCCCAGCCCAAGGCAGCTGCTTTCTTCCTGTTTATCTGTCTTCTCTGTTGCCCTGTGAAGCCAGAGACCAAAACAGCCTCACAGACCAGGCCCAAGTCCAGCCCGTGGCCAAGGCCTCCTCTTCCTGCCCAGAGAGCCTGGCAGCACCCTGGCGCCTCCCGGCCCTGTTAGGGTGGTGGGAACACAGGGTGGGCATTTTCCAGAGACAGTGCACACACCACACCACATACATACATGTACACAGTCACAGCACACACATACATGCACCCACCACACACCCATATGCCACACCACACACACACCACACCATGCACACACTCGTACACACCACACACATGCACACACCACACAGTCCCATACGCCACACACCCACACATGCACCAACCACACAACCATACACACCACACACATGCACACACCACACAGTCCCATACGCCACACACCCACACATGCACCAACCACACAACCATACACACCACACACATGCACGCACCTGCACACCACACCACACCACATACACATGCACAGCCAACACCACACACCCACATGCATGCACACACCCGCAGCACACACAGGTGCACATCACACCCCGCAGCACACACACGCATCTTTACCATGTTTTTGCAGAGCGCCTTGGGGGCAGGCTGCAGAGTGCTGGCACCCAGGGCCTGACCCTTCAGCCGCATCGCCTCAGTGCACGCACATCCTCACGCTGTCACTAACCTAGGAGCACAGAAATGGCCTTCCTAATGCCACCCAGATCAATGGACTAGGAGATGGTTGCCCTCAATTGGCAGAGAATTTGGGGACCCTGGCTGGGGAATAGGAAAGCAAGGCTCCAGCCCCTGCTTGGCCCCTGCCCAGTAGTGTGACCTTGAACGGGCCACGCCAGCTCTTGGCACCTCAGCTTCCCCTTCTGCGCAATGGGACTTGATGATTGAGGGGGACCTATGGTGGTAAGATGGGGAGGGCCGGGGACTGGCAGGGCCTTGGGAAAACCTTTGTTCCCTCTGTCTAAAGCCGGCTAGGCCAAGGAATCCATGCCAGCCTTTTGGGGTGAGCAGGCAGCCGTCTCCTTATCAGTTTCTCTGCCTGAAAGAGGCTGTGCAGTGCCAGGTCTCAGCAGCGGGCTGGGACCTCCCCTAGCAACGTGGCCAGGCCTGTGGCAGTCTCTGCCCCCTGTACTCCTCACTTCCTGTTGTTAAACTGGGGAAGAGTCTGGAGGAAGGGCCCCCATGGCGGTCTCCTCTGGGACACAAGAAGCTAGATCAGGACCCAACGCTACTCTGCTCAGCCAGGACCCCCGGGAGGAACTGGGAGCCACATGGGCAGGCACTACATGGAACTGTGCCAGGAGAGAGGCCCTGGGCAGACCCTGGACAGACACCCCTCAGGGACCGAGAAAGATGGGGCTGGGCAGCAGCTCTCATGGGAAGAAGGGCAGACTGTGCTGATTCACACTAGGCCCACATGAGTCAGCAGGGATGGCACTGGGCTGCCTCAAGCCCCTGCCCTTGGGCATTAACAGGAGCAGGGCATCTATCTGGGGGTGGGCCAGGCCCCCACTGCTGCCAATGCAGCACCCCTGTGCACACCTCCCACTGGTCACTCTAAGACTTGCAGAAAGGGCTCTGTGAGTGCCAAGGTGTGGCTCCTGATCTTCCAGCCTAGTACCTGGGCAGAAAAGGACAGGAGACAGATTGAGGGGACACTGTTTGTCCCTCTCTATCCACCGGGTCCCCATGATCAGAACCCTCCATTCACCAAACTGCAAGTGCCGCTGGCCCAGCACTGTGGCTACAGAGATGGAAGGACCTGGGCTCTGCCCCAGGAGCACATGGGCTTGTGCAGAGAAGAGTGGAGGCAGGGAGGCCGGTGGAAGCTGTGCCTGTCACCCAGGAGAGAAATGGTGTGACCCACCTAACACTGGGCAGCGGGGCTAGAGGGGGCAGGCAGGTGGAAAAGGCATTTAAAGGGCCCTGAAGGATTTGTAAGGGGTGGAAGACAAAGAGGAGGCAGCCAGGGACGTGGAGAAAGAGGCCCCTGATTGTGTGGGAGGGGTGCATGTGCAGATGGCAGAGCCTGTGGGCAGTGGGAAGGATGAAGGAGCCAAGTGCCTGTCAACAGAAACGGCCCTCACAGGGACTGTGACCCGAAGGAGCATAATACGTGGAGCCCAGGAGACAGGGAGGAACAACGGGTTGGAGGATGGGATTGAAGGGGACAAAAACAAATTTAATAAAAACTCAAGTGCACAAGTTTGAATGTGAGGGTGTGTGTGTGAGGGTGTGCATATGTGTGAGGGTTTGCGGGTACGAGGGTGTGTGTGTGAGGGTGTGTGTGAAGGTGTGCATGTGTGTGAGGGTTTGCGGGTACAAGGGTGTGTGTGTGAGGGTGTGTGTGAGGGTGTGCATGTGTGTGAGGGTTTGCGGGTATGAGGGTGTGTGTGGGGGTGTGTGTGAGGGTGTGCATGTGTGTGAGGGTTTGCGGGTATGAGGGTGTGTGTGGGTGTGTGCATGTGTGTGAAGGTTTGCAGGTGTGTGAGGGTTTGCGGGTATGAGGGTGTGTGTGGGGGTGTGTGTGAGGGTGTGCATGTGTGTGAGGGTTTGCGGGTATGAGGGTGTGTGTGGGTGTGTGCATGTGTGTGAAGGTTTGCAGGTATGGGGGGTGTGTGTGTGAGGGTGTGCATGTGAGGGTGTGTGTGGCAGTGTGCATGTGAGGGTGTGCGTGTGAGGGTGTGCGTGAGAGTGTGTGAGGGTGTGCATGTGTGTGGGTGTGCATGTGTGTGAGGGTGTGCGTGAGGGTGTGTGTGACGGTGTGTGTGATGGTGTGCATGAGGGTGTGTGGGTGTGCATGTGTGTGAAGGTGTGCATGAGGGTGTGTGTGACAGTGTGTGTGAGGGTGTGCGTGAGGGTGTGTGAGGGTGTGCATGTGTGTGAGGGTGTGCATGTGTGTGAGGGTGTGCGTGTGTGAGGGTGTGCGTGAGGGTGTGTGTGACGGTGTGTGTGATGGTGTGCGTGGGTTTGCGTGTGTGTGGATGTGTGTGTATGTGAGGGTGTGCGTGTGTGGGTGTGCATGTGTTGTGTGAATGTGTGTGAGGGTGTGCATGTGTGAAGGTGTGTGTAGGAGGGTGTGCATGTGTGAGGGTGTGCGTGTGTGAGGGTGTGCACGTGAGGGTGTGTGGTGTGTGGTGTGTGTGACGGTGTGGCCAATGATGACAGGAAGACAGTCTGCGGATGATCATCTAATTGTGTCCATTCACCTGAGTGAATAATAACTGGGAAAGCTGGACAGAGCCTGTTGATGGCTGCGGGAAGGCAGCCCATGGAACTGGATAGATTAGGAGCCCTGCGGAGTGGAAGGGAGGGCCAGGGTCTTCAGCAGGTGCTGGGGTGAGGGGCCGGGGGTAGAAGAAGGGTGAGCGTTGAGGGCTTGAGGGCCGTACCCATAGATGGCCTCCAGGTCATCACGTGACAGTCAGGCAGGAGGCGGCTCCCTGGCAAAGCTGCAGAGATTTTTTTTAAAAAAGGCAATGGGCCCTCCCCGTTTCCTCCCAGCGGCGGGCGACTGCAGTTCCTGTTAGTGGGCTGTTTGGGTAACTGTCTTGGGGTTCCCCAGTCTGACTTCCTCGTGCTCTCTCCGCCTGCACGTTCCTCCCCCAGATTATTGCAGCAGCTGCTCCGGGTGTCCTCAATGCTCACACACTCACCACCCTGGAACGGCCCTCATCAGGCAATGATTTCTCTCCTCCAGAATGACTTTTTTTTCTGGCTTTATTGAGGTATGATTAGCATACAGTAAAATTCATTATTTTTAATTGCACTGTTCAATAAGATTTGACAAATGCATACAGTCATGTAACCACAACCACAGTCATGACATAGAATAAATATTTTGAACATTCCAGAAAGTTCCCTCGTGGCCTTTTGCAGTCAAGTTTCTTCCCCTACCTGAAAGCCTAGCAAACACTGATCTATCACTATAGATTTTCCTTTTCTAGAACTTTATATAAATAGAATCATAGAGTATGTAGTATTTTGAAAAATTAGCCGCACATGATGGCGTGCGCCTGTAATCCCAGCTACTTGTGAGGCTGAGGCAGGAGAATCACTTGAACCCAGGAGAAAGAAGAAGAAGTTGTGGTGAGCCGAGATTACACCACTGCACTCCAGCCTGGGTGACAAGAGTGAAACTCCATCTCAAAAAATAAATAAATAAGGGCCAGGGATAGTGACTCACATCCGTAATCCCAACACTTTGGGAGGCCGAGGCGGGCAGATCACCTGAGGTCAGGAGTTGGAGACCAGTCTGACCAACATGGTGAAACCCTGTCTCTACTAAAAATACAAAAATTAGCCGGGCGTGGTGGTGCACGCCTGTAATCCCAGCTACTCAGAGGCTGAGGCAGGAGAATCACTTGAACCTGGGAGGCAGAGGTTGCAGTGAGCCGAGATCTTGCCATTGCACTCCAGCCTGGGTGACAGAGCAATACTCCATCTCAAAAATAATAATAATAATAAAAATAAATAAATAAATGAGTACGTAGTACTTTGTAACTTCTTTTTTTTTTTTTAATTTTTTTTTTGGTGGGAAGGAGGCATAGTCTCTCACTCTGTCTCCCAGTATACTGAAAGCTTTTATCACAAGTGAGTATTGAATTGTTTCTTTTTTTTCTTTTTTCTTTTTTTTTTTGAGCCGGAGTTTTGCTATTACTCCTGACCTCAGGTGATCCACCTGCCTTGGCCTCCCAAAGTGCTGGGACTACAGGCGTGAGCCACTGCGCCTGGCCGTTGTTTACCATTTTTACATCTGTATTAATGAGAGATGCTGGTCTACAGTTTCCTTTTCTGTAATATCTTTGGTTTGGGGATGGCTGTAATGCTGACTTTATAAAATGAGTTGAGAAGTGTTCTCTCTTTCTGTTTTCTGGAAGAGTTTGTAGAGAATTTTTTTTTTTGAGACTGAGTCTCACTCTGTCGCCCAGGCTAGAGTGCAGTGGTGTGATCTCGGCTCACTGCAAGCTCTGCCTCCCGGGTTCACGCCATTCTCCTGCCTCAGCCTCTGGAGTAGCTGGGACTACAGGCACCCGCCACCACGCCCGGCTAATTTTTTTGTATATATTTTTTTAACAGAGACAGGGGTTTCACCGTGTTAGCCAGGATGGTCTCAATCTCCTGACCTCGTGATCCACCTGCCTCGGCCTCCCGAAGTGCTGGGATTACAGGCGTGAGTCATCGCGCCT